CAAAGAATTGTCCAGCTAAAAATGCCAGTAGCCCCAAGGTTGGGAAACTCTGCTCTAGAGTCCATCTGTTTAACACAGAGTTTAACTGTTTCCATTCAGGGGTCTCTCAGGTACTTGGAGACAGCTAACCATATGAAAGCTTCTGCACCTTCAAATTCTGCAACTATTTTTCTGATGCTCCCATTATAATAAGACTAGTAATTCATATGTGACTTTTTCTAAAAGCATTTTATTTTAAAGGAGGAATAAACCATTGAAAGAAGGCAGTGCTTGGTACAAACTGACCAGTGGTGGTCCACGTTAGTTCTGAGGAATGGAGTGGGAGAGGTATAACCGAGTGGTGTCTTTATGTGTTCTTCCCCATGCCCCATACGGCTGATTTCTATGACACTTACTGCAAGGGATTTAGCTTCCCGAGGTAGTCTTTGGGATACAATGTGAAAAATGCAGGGCATGTCCAAATCCATGTCATGATAAACTATGTCATAATAACCATCTCCCAGAGTTAAGAGTGTTCCTGGGATATAGATGGTGTTAGAAATTCTGACCATGCTAGGGATAGGAAAGAAGTAGTAAGATCTTTTCAAAGACCTCTTCTGCCCTTTCTGTGAGCCCAACTTTTAGACGCCATCTAACTCAAATCCCCATTTGTTGCTGAAGTCACTTTAACACTCAGAGACAAAGCAATTACTAGGTCAATTTATACTTGTCATGTTCCTGCTAAAATTTGCTCTAGCTGGGCGAGAAAGACCGAGGAAATGATACATTCTCTGAAAAGACTGAGGAACATTTCAAGGAATATATTTGACCAGAAGACTTAGGAGCTAACAACAGTCTATTTGAAAAGCATGTAGCTAAAGGCAACCGGCCTGATTCGCTTCTTGAATACTGTTTTCCCTGAAGTGTATGGATTGCAGTTTTAAAGAGGAGCAGGATAAAATTTTGAAAATTGTGACAAAAGAAACTTAGTCACCAGAGAAGGTGCATAGACCCCATGTGTATTTGCTAATGTGGAAGGATTTGGGTGCTAGCTTCCATTGATTACTTAATTATGAAATCCATTAAATCAATTGCTTATGAAAGTGACCAACACAGACTGATTTGTTAGAGTTAATAAGAACATTAGGAAAATAATGATCCAGTTTCTTCATCAGTGGTGATATAGCTTAACCCAGCAAGTCATTAAGATTTCCCCTTTCATGCAGTTTTCACTGTCAGCAAACACTGCCTATTGTAGGAGCTAACACAGCAGGGGCCATTTCCTAGGCCAAGTTCCAGAAGAATTCCTCTCCTTTAGTGGGAAGATAAGAAAAGAAGAAGCTGGAGAGAAAGCCCCTCCTAGAGCAGTCCTGCTGATAAAGCTATGCTGGCCCAAGGGGGGCGATGACAATGTCTAAAGTGACCCAACTGCAAAGGGAAGATCCAGGGACACTTTCATTCTCTAAGTCTCTCTCAGCAGGTGATTTTGTGATTGAAAGAGCTGAGCTCTGGCTTGGGACTGGATGTTACAACTGGATGGTAGGAATTTTTAAAATTACGTGATAGACTATACTCATTTATTTCTTCCCCAGCTTCTCCTTTTTCCTCACCCCACATCATCAGTTCAAACAAAGACAATTTCCCATATATAGCCACAAAGTCAAAAGTAGTTAGAAATGGATGGCAGTGCTACCAGCTGTCACCACAGTCACCAGACCCCAGAGTGTATGACCAGAATCAGTCGCAGGAGCAGCAGTATGTGAGGATGAGAGGTTTGCAGAGAAATCCTCTCTCCTGAAATATTTCCCTCATTAGTGGTACAAGAGGTCCTTAAATTATCTATAGAAGTTTATTGCTTTGGGTTACCATTGGCTATATTTATTAGAATTCTTATTAAACAGCACGTGTATTTCAAAGAGGTAATATACTTTAATTCTTAGCTATATAGGAGGTTCCTAAAACCTCTTTCTGTTCAAGATGCCTAGCTAAAAGCCAGGCCCTGTGTGGGAGGGTTCCTTGGAAGGGTGCCTGGAGGTCAGTATACAGACTAATTGTTCCAACTTCCACCTTTCCCTAGGCCTGGACTATGTGTGGCCTAATCAGAGTCTGAGTAGTCAGGAAACCTGGGAGCCATGGGAGAGAGAATGGGGGCTTCTCTCCTTTCCCTTCTTCCTCCTCTCAAGGTCTTTGTCCCCTCGCACATGGACATTTGATCAGCTTCCTCAGATCCAGCATCTCATGTAGCCCTATAAACCTTTGTCCAGTGTACTTTGTGAGTTGCATGGACACATTCTGAATTATAGTCACTGTTATTTCACAGAGGACTGGACATCCAGCCAGATTTTCAGTTTCTTGAGTTCAAGGCTGTGTTCTCTGTAACCCCGGTCACAGTGCAATGCACATAGTAGGAGCTTAATACAGATAGACTTGCTAATTAATGAGCAATGACTTCAGGAGCCTGCTTGGCAATGGGGAAGGCCACAGAGTTGGTTTTAGAAGTAGCTTTTCTGCTGACTTTTCCTATAGATTTAGGGATATAATAGTTACCATTAATTGAATCTGTTAATTTCTGGTGAGGCATTTTACATAGATTTTTCTCAATTTATCTTCTCAAGAAGTTTTCAAGGTAAAAGCTGTTTTCCTCATTTGCAACTTAACCAGTAAAGGGTGGAGTTGGAATTCAAACCCAAGTCTTTCTGATGCCCAAATCTGCACTCTTTCCATTACAGCATGATAATTTTGTTTTTAAAAATTATACCCTGGAGATAAAAACCATATCAGCATTTGTGACTTTATGATGATATTCACTAGGTAAATAAAATAATTAGTCAGGTCCTTTGATGAGTAAGAAGAGTCCTTCTTCCCTTGAGGGCAAGTGCAGGATTTTAGTAGCTCACATTCCCCCTCTCAAACCAGTTGGACCTCTTCCGAGAAGTATATAGATAGTAGAAGAGTAAAATTAGATTACAGAAGTCTATTTGCAAGGCATAGTTTCTTAATTACTTTGAATAAATTGGTATTTACACATCTGCTGTAGAGTACCATTTACTGTGTTGGGAGAAACTAAGGTCAGAAAAAGCACATATGGAATCCCTTATTGCGGTAGTATCGGGTATCATATCAATGTTTGTGAAATGATCGGCACTCATCTGGTAAAATTATGATCGAAGCATGACAGATATGTATTTTAATTTTCTTTTCTTGAATAGCAAATTCCATCTTTCCTGATCCGGGTATAGAAACAGTGGCAAATTTAACACAATGCGCTTCGAGATGTGCAATATTTTCTATCCATCTGATGAAGTCAAAGGGTGTTTATGAAAAACCAATTATCCTAATTACTCATAATATGGCTGTGTGCTCTGAAGAAAGAAAGAAATTTGTAATAGCTCATTTAGAACAGCACAGAATCACACCTAGAATTTTAAATGCCACAAATTTGGGACATAGAAATAAGGTTATTCCAATGCAAATGGATCCGATTTAAATGGTTTGTGACATATAAAGACAATATAAGTGTAATATGGTTTCCTTTAGCTCTTGGGGCTTTGATTATAGTAATTTGGTAGGAGGCAAAGTGCATGACTCTTATAATGATGAAATTTTATTACGGTGACATTAGTGCTCTTGCCAGAAATAATATTGAACTTAAAGTAACATATAGAAATCATATAGTTAGTTAAAAGTAGTAGTTAAAGGAGCACAAAAGTACAAAAGACCTGAATTCTAGTTTTTGTGCTACTTACCAGTGGGCATTTTCATGAAACCAATCTATAATAGTTTAAGTTGTGTGTTAAACAGTTTTCTTTTTGGGGGGTAATAATCATCTGGCTTCTCTGCATACATTTTTAGGTTCATAGCCTGATAAATTGTTTATATTTATCTGTGAGTAAAATGATGCTTTATTTTGAAAAAAAATAAAGTTCAGTGGTATTATGGTTTCTTGTGTTTAATTGTACCAATGGCTTCTAATCATTACTTCATCTTATAATGACACCCTGTTATGTAACTTTCAGCATGTGATGAACTTTCAGCATGTGTATGGTGGGCAGGGCATACTTACCTGCTTCTTGATTCTGGCCTGAGCCCTGTGAGTTGCTTTGGTTAAGCAGGATGTTAGCAGACGTGAGGCAAGCAGAAACTGCACTACGGGCTTATGCAGTTGAGTTTGCATACTCTTATACCTCTGCCATCACTCAGAGAAGGACACGGCTGGGCTAGCCCATAGATTTCAGGAGAAGGAATACTGGCTAGCCTGCAGCTTCCTGGAGCATAGTCCCCCCAGCTAAGCCTGGCCTCCACCAGCTTATATCAGCTGATCCTCAGCCTTGTATGCTAATATATGTTTTAAGCCATTGAATTTGGGGGCAATTTGTTATGCTACAATAGCTACCTGATACATAGTAGAGCCTTTATAAGTTGACCACCCAAGGGACTGTAGAAAACTGGTCAACGTAAGGAAGTTTTTTTTTTTTTTTAGACAGAGCCTCAAGCTGTCCCCCTGGGTAGAGTGCCGTGGCATTATAGCTCACAGCAATCTCCAACTCCTGGGCTCAAGCGAGTCTCCTGCCTCCGCCTCCCAAGTAGCTGGGACCACAGGCACCCGCCACAACGCCCAGCCATTTTTTTTTTGGTTGCAGCCGTCATAGTTGTTTGGCGGGTCCGGGCTGGGGATTCGAACTCGCCACCTTAGGTGTACGTGGCTGGTGCCTTAGCCGGTTGAGCTATAGGCGCCGAGCCAATGTAAGGAAGTTTTATTAAATACATGTGGTGCATGTCCGGTCTATAAAAAATGGGTCAACTTAAGGAGGTGGTCAGCTATGAAGGTTCTGGTGTACTTCTAAATAATTTCCATTGGTAGAAAAATGTTTTGCCTGCAAACCTATATTATTGAATACCCATAACAATATCTTGTTAATATCATCCATTGATAAAGTTAGTAGATATTCTCATTTTGTTACCCAAGACATAAAAGCAAAAAGACACAGCCTTTTAGTTACAACAGCATTGGCCAATCTTACCTGTATGGAGACACTGCTGTAAGAGCCGCCAATGACCCCTGCGATGAGCAGTGGCATGTTTTCTTGAATGGCGTAGGATCCATCAGGACACATATACTCAGCTTCATCCACTTTAGTCAAAGATGCCCTGACAAACTCCAGTGATTGCTCTAATGCATAGGTATCCCTTGAACATGTATCCAGAATGTGAACACCCAGCTTCACTCCTGGTAGCAAGTAATTGTCTTTGTTGATTTCATCGATAGCAAACAACATGGCTTCCAGGCGTTGGATCCCTCGGTCTTCATTGATTCGCCCACACTCTTCAGTTCCAGTGCCTTTTTCATTAATAGGAAATAGGCCCCCTAAAACAAGGTCACCTTCTATTTTAATCTCCCGCCTTAGAAAGTTATGGTCTCCCAAAGAGAGTAAAAATCCCTTTGAAAGCAAAGCTAGGGTAAGAACTTGCAGTCTCGTCAACATCTTCATGAATCCTGTTTCTCTACCTCTGGGAGGTATCAGTGGTGGAGCCTATGTTGCTGTTAGTCTTCCTCTCTCATTTCCAAACTGGATCTTTGACCTTCCCTTCAAATAAGGAAGGAACAGACTAACAGAGCTTGTCTCCAAATTCCTAAAGAGATAAAAATTATATGAAAAAAGTGGCAAAGCAAGCAACAGTAATCACATTGATCTTCCCTTCCCCATCCAGACCTGTGATGGGATAATGACTCATGAAACCGTTCATTGACCACACACTGCACCACTGCCCCAGGCACTCTCCCATAGGTATTCTCTCCTAGTCCTCACAATCATGATGTAGCTCTTAGTGACAAATAGGCACCAAGGACCAAAGTGGTAAAGTGACCAATGTATATTGGACGTAGAGGTCAGACTCTAGGTTTTCTAATGCCAAGTCTAGTGGTCTCTCACCTGGGTCATTTGCTTTGAATTTGGTAAGGCAGCAACTTGGATAGGAGGCAGTATTCCCTCTATTTCAGCTGTTATCTACAAACTTACCCTTTTTTATGGACTCTTCCTCTATTTGGAAACAAAACAAAACACAAGCTCTATTACTATCTCTCTACATTTTTACCATTACATCTAACTCTTCACTTCACAGATGAACTCCCAGTTGCCTGTGGCATTTCCCCACTTCCTCTCATCTTAGAAGCTCTCTGGCCACTGGAATTGAGATTCTATCTCCACTGCTCTAACAAAATGTCTCTGGAAAAAGTTACTACTGATTGACTAGTTTCTAAATTGAATGAACCCACTGTGGTCCTCATTTTACTTGACCTTAATTAAAATGTTGGCTATTCTTTACCTGTTAACAACGTCCTAGGTTTCTGTTCTCATGCTTCATTTCTGACAACATCTTAAATTCTATTGTTTGACACCTCTTCTCCCCATCTTGCTACCCACCCCCGTTCCTGGGCTAACTCATTTATTTTCATAGTTTCAGCTACCATGTAAATCAACTCCAGGATTCTAGGTCAGCTCTCTTTTGAATAGCTTTATGACACATCCTCAGACACCCCAAGGTCTGCATGTCATAAACTCTCCCGTGTCCCTGTGAATGGGTCTTCTCTGTTTCCAGGCTCTCAACCCAGAAATCTGCACTCTGGAGTCCTCTCCATTTCATACCCTGCTGCCCCTTCCCATTAGCCATCCACCCTGTAGAGTCTACCTGTCCAACATCTCTCAGTGCTGTCCAACATCTCCTCTTATCTGTCCCTACTGCACCAGGCTTTCCTACTCTGTAGCAGGACCACACCAACAGTTCCTGCAGAGCTGCTACCAAGATGCCCCTTTCCGAAGTACAAGATCTTTAATTTATTATTGTACAACCAGTACAACTATGAATGATGAGGAAGGTGCGGTTACTGCAGCTGCAGAACTCCTGGTGGCCCCAGAGTGTGACGAGTGTGAGGTGTGAGGTACACATGATGCTGAGGTGTGCATAGCGGATTGCAGCTTTGGACAATTCCATAAATCCAGCTTCTTTTTATGTCATAGGCTAGAACACTGAGAATCCGGCAAAGCCCTGCTATGAGGACAATGTTTCTGATAGTAAACTGGATCTTCACAAGGAACTTTTCAAAGCCCTGGTGGAGAGTTGTTCAGTCACACGAACAAAGCCATGGTCCTACTGTTGTATTCTCTAACGCCCAGATCCCCAGCACTATAGCAACCCCCTGACAAGCACACTCACTCTGCTTGCCCACCTCCCTGCCTCACAGATGAGACGAGTTCATTATCTTCAGAGGCAGGTGAGACATGTGACAGCACGGACCCGTGGATCATTCTTCACATGGGGGGCTGTGTGTGCCTGTCTGTCTACCTATTTTTATGCATGATTGTGTGTTGGTCGGGTTAGCTTGTCAGGATGCCTGACACCCACACCACACCTGTGTGCTCTCAGATCAATGAGCAAATGTTAACAATTCGAGTGGTGTCCTATCGGAAGAGATGCTCAAATGCACGCACAATCTTTCTTACTTTCCACAGTGGCCCATCTCCTGTCACTGGATACTGACCTTCCTTCACCTACAAGTTTAAGAACTGGCTTCTTACAAAGCTCTTCTCAGACCTCCGGTATCTCTCCCCTGACCAGCACTATCCTTAAAGACTCAGCTGTCCCTCCCAGAAAAGTTCCAGCATTCTTTCCTATCTCCCTTCCCCAACTTGTGTAGTTCCAGCTTTTTGGTCCTGCTGTATTTTGTTCGAGAAATATTTGCTATTGCCATTATAATTTATATTTGTTTTCCTGTGTGCTCAATGGGAATAAATGAAATGGCACAGCATTTAAGATTTTTAAGGTACCAAGGAAAAAATAACTCCACGAAAATATTAAGACAGAAGCTATTCCACTGTTTACTTCAACATTTTTGACATTTCTCCCTTCTCCTGTTAGCGGTGCCCTTTACAACCCAGCTTCCCACTTGCTTTCTGTTCCTTTCACATGGAGCAAATGATGGGTTGTTTTCTTGAGACACACAGTCAGCTGGGTTACATTTTGTTTATTTATTTAGGTGTGAATCTCGGCAATGACGGCAGCAGTCACTGGAATGCTCAATGTTAACCCAGGACCTCTCCGGGAGATCTACTTCAGGGCAGCCGAAAGTCTCACAAAAATAATTTCTTAAAAAGTTGATATGTTAGTAGAATTTTTTTTTTGTTTCATATCAAATTTCTGGTCTCTTTGATCTTTGTTTGCAATTCCCTTTGAAACGAAACTGCCATGGAAGGCAAAAGACACTGAGATCATTATCGCTAATGATAAAGATGAAGAAATTGCTCTAGAAAATAATTGTTTTATGTGTTTATAAAAGAGAATAGCTAATTAAAAGAAGGTCATCAACACAGACTTGCCATGTATCTTTATAAAAAAAAATACAGACATCTTTTAAATGTGAAGAAAGTTTGACTACTCAAAAGAGCTAAAGATGACCTCATAGCTATAGAAAGCTTAATTCTCTGTTGAGAAAGTGCTCTTAGCCCAAGAAAACTTCAAATGAAACATCACATTACACTAAAAGTCCACATTAGTCCACCTGTATTGCAGGGGGAGGCTGTGTTTTATTTATCTTTGTGTATCTGGGGCCTGGCCTAGCGTCTGGAATACAGAAGATAGTCAACAAATGTTTCTTGAAGGAACATAGATATCCATGAAAACTACGTTTGTAAATGAATCTTTGCTATTTTATTTATGGCACAGGAAATGGTAATTCTTGAAGAGAAATGGATTGTTTTTATTTCATTACCTTCCTGGTCATTTCAGATACACTTCCCATATTGCACTTGACTGCCCACAGGTAGAAATATAGGAATTATTGTTAATGGAAACAAACAAACACACAAACTCAGTAAAATAATTTAAAAAGGTTTATTCTGAGCTGAATGTGTGTGACCTAGAGCACCTGCCTTCAAGAGGTCCTGAGAAAATGTGCCTGACACAGCCGGGTTACAGTTTAGTTTGATACATTCATGGAGACAGGACATGTAAAATCAGAAATCAATGCATTGAAGGAGTACATTGGTTTGGCCAGGATATCTCGAAGTGGGGAAGCTGATAGGTTTTAGGTGTGTTTAAAGATTCCTTGATTTGTAATTGGCTAAAGAATGAAGCTTTGTGGAAAGGAATGGAATATTTTATCTTAAGATAAGAGAGTCTGTTATTCAGAGTCAAGCCACCTGACACTGAGGATGTTTAGCTCAGGCTCAAGTGATCTCCTAGGTAAGTTGATGGCCCGTGGGTGTGGTTGAAGTTTGCCTTGTATGGCCTTAGGTCCAGTTAAGATTTAGTGTCTTGTTACAAGGAGTAAGTCCAAAAACGAGAGGGCATGAGGGGAGTGTCTAACCTCCCTTCTCCTCATGGCTGGCAAATCAGCCTTAAGCTTTTTCTGGGGTTCCCTTGGCCGAGGGGGGTCCGTACAGTCAGCCTTTGTACTATACTTTTATTTATTATGCAAGAGAAAATGCTGCCTTTGTATTTGAAAATTGCAACTGAGGTTGTTCCTTAGGGAGCCAGGGGAGATGTGGACCTGAACTGACCTACATTTACTTTGTAGTTTTTGTCAGGAGAATATTTAATAAGGAGCATGCATATTATCCTATCTCAAAGCTTCAGAGACGCATTCACTTATGAAATATTTATTTAACATCTACTATGTGTGTGCTAGGCTGTGACCTGGATACTTAGGACATATACTTTAATTGTAAACAAATAAACATGGTCCTTGCTGTCAAATAATATTCTAAACGCTTACACATTCTTATATAGACAGCAATGGAAAAACATGAGACTCTGTTTCTACCAACTATTGCCATCATTTGTGAAAAGGTTAGAAGTAAGTATACCTTAGGTTTCTTTTAACATGATAATTTTGAAGGGCTTGACTTAAGCAACCCATTCATACTACATATATTATGTGAATTTAAAAATTATACAGACCATAAAAACAAGTTGGCTAATTACAATCTCATGTAAAATATTTTTCCTTTAAGCCTTCTAATAGGGCATCTTTAAGTAACATTTGATGCAGTCTTAGAGAATAAAAAATCAAAAATCGATTTAGATCAATATTTAAATTCATTGTCTTGGTATTTCCTATTTACCTTTTCTGTCAAGCAGATTTTTTAATGATTAAGATGTAGGGCCATGCATAATTTATAAACACTTAGCATTATTTAAAATGAAGCCCTAGGAAACTGAGAGAAAAAACTTAAAATTTAGCATTGAAAAATAGACTAACATTCTTAATGTGACTGTTTATCACTGTGTAGCAGCTTATCGGATTGTGAGAAAAGGCACCAACCACCTCTGTTCAGGTTCTTTTCATTAGAAATCAGCCAGCAGCACCTTCCCCAGATAAGGAGGCTCCCTCCCGCAGCCACATTCTTCTGCAGCTGGAGAGCTGCAGCTGTACAAAGTTCTCTATTGAGGGATGATGAGTGATGTGTCAACTATAAACAAGCATATGTAGCCCTCTCTATGGGCGACCTGCTCACCCATGTTTTATTATTGGTGCATTAATGGAATCTCAGAGGTTTGCTGTGACTACAGCCCCTGGAATACGTGAGTGCAGAGCATTTCTATACTCTGTATTTGCTAATATGTATTTCCTTCCC